TTTCATAGAGACACACCAACTCAGGCATGATCAAGGTTAAAAACAGATGTGTATCACGACGATACATCGGGTTCAATCGTGTGTAGTTGAAACGGTGTCGGGAAGAGTTAATATGTGAGTCTAGTCGACTTGCCAGTATGTAGTTGTGGGCAGTGACTTTATTCAGTGGCGAGTCACATCCGCCACGTCGCAGTGTTGTTAAACAGACATTTGTGGCTTTTTAAATGGGGAACGCTTGCCAGGCGAAAACCCACCACGTCCTGCAACACTGCGGTAAAGCATTTTGAACATTAATGTTGAACTGGCAAAGCCGCTTGACGACTGGTTTTACCTTCGGTTTTTCGCAGAGTAATGGCTTCTAATTTCCTCTGTTAGTTGGACAGGTAATTTGATCGGGGTCGCCATGATTTTTGAGGTCGGTGGAGGAGAGGGACATGGCGATTATTCATCTTGTTGTATGTCCAGGTGAGCAAAAGTTCAACTTTTTCGCTGTCCAGATTTTTCAGATGTATAATGTATGGGAGTATGAGGATATGTCCAGTTCTTCATACTGGACAAGGGTTGTGGTGATTGTAGTTCGGTCCTTTCGGAGTTCTACCATGCTCCACGTAAGTCCTTGTGGGTTGTTACGTCCGTCTTGGGCCAAAACTGTTCCTCAGTCCAATCCCAGATCTCCAAGAAGTCCCGGACCTCGGAGAAAAGGGAAAGTGAGGGACAACCGAGAGAAGACCGCAAGACCGCAAGAATAAAAATTTTCAAAAGCTTTTCTAATACGTTTCCCATTGCGATTTGTTTATAAATGGAGAAAGTCGTTTGATTTTTATTAGTAGAGTTGGCTTATGCAATGGACATATAAAAAGTGCTTGAAATGATACATCTTGCAGTACTTAGCCAAGAGTTATACTGGTTTTATATGCTCATGTGAGCCAACAGGTTCTGAAATGGCCTAATTTATTTGCGTGAATTTGGTCTATGTACCCAAACCACTTCAATGTATAAAAGCCTGGGAACCCTATTCTATATTAATCGCGGCCGGTGACCAACAAAAGATGCACGTAGCAGTATTTCTACCATGGACTAAGTAGCATAAAACCTCGCCCTGTTTAAAACTAATAGTTCGTTATTCTTATGCATTTCTGCGTGGTTTATCTATCAACTCTTGTTAATTATTGCATGTGCACAGAACGTGTGATTTCCATTTCACCAAGTCTTACGTAGTAATTACTCCTGCCTTTCAGCAATAGCATACGTTTCAGATAACAAACTTATTTGACATTCAACATAACAAGTCCTTACCTTTCATATTTTCGTATTCGTTAACCGCGAAAACATGCCGAACTTGGCGTAAGAAAAACGAGCTATTCAACGACACACCAGATCTTAAATACCATAAATCTTGCAGCTATGCTGCTCTAGTCCTCACTAACAAGAAAGGAATTTTCGAATAGCATAACTCCTTTTCCTACCCTTCGCCATGTAAATGCTTCTTACGTTAGCCAATGTAGGCCGCCCATTGGCACGCAAGGTAACAGTATGTATGTAAATATGGCATGCCCTTATTATCAAATATATATAACCCGCTTGTCTCCACTATGAGAAGGGTTTAGCTGAATCGGCCGCGGCTGATCCCAGAAAGTCCTTTGTTTACGTAACGAGGCTCAGCAGAGCAAAACTATCTATACCGGCGTTACTGCGAGCAGACGGTACCCCTTGCGCATGCCGACTATGATAAGGCTTGTATACTTAGCGAACAGTATACTCGAGTGACCACTTTACCACAAGTCGAATTGGTTTCAAGAGTTCCATGGGATTCTAATTTAACTGAGTTTATCATAACGAAGGCTCAGACTTTCTATATGTGGCAAAGCGTGAACCGCTCTACAGCTCTCGGCTTTGATTCAATTCCTCCGAAGTTGATGCGTGAATTTGCCGCTGAACGGATCGGTCTTCTCACTTGCGTGTTTTTAAAATCGCTTGACAGTTGCGTCTCACCTTTGGAATAGAAAGTGGCAATCATCTGTCAGATTTTAAGGAGCGGTGACAGTAATCTCCCCGCGAACTACTGACCTGTCCGTTTGACAAACGTAGTAGTCAGCTTTTTCGAAAAGCTGGCAAGAGATTCGGTGGAGAACCACCTGAACAAATATAACCTCATTGTAGCGCAACTCGGATTCCGCAAGGGATTTTCCTCTCAGACTAATCTACTTTTGGTTCATGAAAGATGGTCCGAAATGGTATACAGTTGCCACGCTATATGCAAGGCTAGAGCAGTAAGTTTCCGGATGCGCAAAACTTTTTTTCTGCAAAAAAATAAATATTGAACTTTTTTAGTAGCACTTTCCACCAGCGTTCACGCACAGTTCCATGCGTTCAGACCATTTGGTGGAGCAGCTAGATCGTGCCGAATCGGGTAACTCTTCGGACAGCTCAACAGAGGTCTCTACTGCGGCATCTGGAGACTCGTAGGGAATTCCACGCACCGTGCGCTTGACATTTGGGGACACAAAATGTACCATGAAGCCAGGTCTGGATTATAGGGTCGGCGTCCCATCTGGATGCGTTCTCGATCCGGAAAACCTAGCGTCATGGAACCTGTGTGCAGATGCGTTGTCATGATTTTGCAAGGTCCCACTTGCCCGAATTCTTGGTCGACGCCTGGCTACAGCTTACAGCACTTGTGGCATACCAGACTCCGGTGACTGCGTACTGCTATACGAACGGTTTAGTCTTGGCTACAAACACGGCCATCATTTGCTTGGTCACGTTGCACTCATGCCGGAATTTTCGGGGTGGCGCTCTACCAACGGTCGTTCACTGAGCCAATTGTTACTTGGTCTCTGGGTTGAAACTATTCACTCAACTCTCATCACCACTGAGGATTTTCTAAACAGCATTAGAACGTCCACCATCAAACCTGGCAAGCATGAGGTGGCACCAATTCACCCGAGCTGCTTTCTGGTCCTCACTGAGCTGATGGGGTACCCAGCGTACGCAAACCTTTCTGAGGTCGAAGTTCCTATGTAGGATGATGCGGCTTGATCTCGATGAAATTCCGATGGCTTTCCCCAGTTATGCCACAGTCACCGGTGCGTCCTCCTCCAGCATCGCTTGGACAGCAGCAATGTTGTCCGCCATGATGACCTCCACAGGTCGACCACACCGCGCCTCATCGTCCATGGACCATCTGCCACGCTTGAGTTCCGTAAGCCACCCAAACACGGTGGCTCATGAAGACGCATCATCACCAAACGTAGCATGCAATCGCTCAGCACTCGGGGGCTGCTTTAAACCACATTGGTAGTCATATTACATCATTGCTCTCCAGTAACTTCGACTGAGTTCCATACTTCCAGGCAGATTGTAGCGACCATTATGACTTGTCAGTTGTGCTGAGCTGTTGATATACGGTTCTGTGAGTTGAAATCACCGAACAATGTTCGGAGTGGATTACGGTTCACATTTTTCTTGCCAGGTCATCTGCGCCTACTCTGTGTATTGCGTATCCCGAAACTTATTGCTCTGCCATCCTACGTGCTATTCGTAGACTTCGAGAGCTTTTGACACCGCTCCTCATCTTAGACTCGCACTAAATTTGATGTCTTACGGGCTGTCTGATCGTTCCCTTAAATTAGTATCTGCTTTTCTGGAGGGATGGGATCAGTATGTACGCATAGGGCGTAGCCTCTCGCTTAGTCAAGCTTTCACTAATGGCGTCCCGCAGGGCTCGTTATTGCGGCCGATTTAAATAACTCAGCAAAGAATCTAGGACTGTCGTCACTAATGTTTGGCGACGACCTTAAGCTCTGGCTTGTTGTCGATATCCCGGTGGGTTCCGAGGTAATTTACGCTCTGGAAATGGTCTGCCTTATGGCTGATGCCCATAAATTGGGCCAAGCGTTCGGTTCTTTGTATTGTGGCTGCCAGTTTTCCCACGCGGTATGTTATCGGGGTAGTGAAATCCCTGTTGTCACTTAGCAGGTTGATTTAGGTGTCGTCCACTTATCAACTCCTCACTCTGTCGACAATTGGAAGAAGGTTGTTTGTAGGAGGTTCCGTATGATTGGTTTATCCGCCACTCCTTCGGAGTCTTAACGGCTGATATGTTTGTAAATTTTTCTCAGCATTCTTGTTACCCTACTTGGAATACTGTATCCAGGTTTGTTTACCTTGTCTTATCATAGACAAAATTGACTTGGAGAGGGTTTCATGTGTTGGTACTAGGTTACTACAAGGTCTACGGGGACAGAGGTATCCCGAACGCTCGCTCAGTTTGAGGAGACACTACTGAAGGATAATAGGGGACTTGATTTTCATTTACTGTATTTTGTCGGGTATGATCGGCCCGGATTTATCTTGGCTATTGAATCCCGTTAAGTCACCTAATCGCGGTCGCTCATTGAAACTGCACAAACCGCGGTCTGATCGGATTAGAGCGGAAACTCTTTTGTCCCGCCGAGGTATAGAGCGCTGAAATTCGCTTCTAGATCATGTGGCTAGGGAACTTACGGTTAAGGGTTTTGCGCGTCAACTCGATGCGATTGGGTGGTAGCACCAAACCTTTCCTTTTTCCTAACTTTCCCTTCCACTTCCTTTTAGTTACTAACATCTTGGTATCATACTTGTTTAGATCAGTTCCTCTTGCCTTCCAATTTTACTGAGCGGTACTCGGTTGGTCAGGGTGTGAGGGGGTCTTTGCTTTATGTCCATCTATATTTAAAAGTCCTTCATCAACTCCTGATTCAACGATCCGCTGAAGAAGGAACACTCAAGGGACAATCCTTTCGTTTCAGTCTTACTTGCATTTGCCTTCCCATTTCGCCTTTGGTGTTGTTAGAGCAGCCATCTCCCATGCGTGCCTCCACGCCATTCATCTAGTCACCTAGTGCTCGGTCCTGCATCGACAGCTGTGACCACGTCGTCTAGCTCACTACGATGTGCAAAACAGGCACATCATCCATCCAGCTCTGACTCTTGCCACGAACTACCACTTTTGTCTTTCAGCGCCCTCGATCTAATACGACTCACGTGCGTCCTGGACACGGCAGCTCTTGGACCCATCAACAGGACACATACTACACTTGCCCTTCTGTCTGCTGCTTATACAACACCTTCACATTTCCGGTTTAACTACTGTTAATTCGCTTGCGCCACTGGTCGAGAATACAACTATTAACGGCAATATTTCGTCTCCTCACTTCGGATATCATGCAGAATTCAAAAGTGAGTTAGTACGCCACTACGCTAATGCGTCATTTCGTGTTCTATTACGAATTGCTTTTGTCTTTTAATGTGTTTTGTGCATGCTGGATTGCCCAAAATATTCCTTATTGATATTAATACTTGTGATTTATCTTTAATGGAGCAGACTAGTAGAGAAACTCGTAATGTAAGACTAGTAAACACTAGTCCGAGACGGTTCGTGGATATCAGAAGGCAACTGGAGTCGGACACAGAGGACGGTATTCGATGGGCTACAACAGAACGGGGACGGATAAAGCGAGACAAGAGCAAACACGTGAACGCGGGAACTTACAAGCCGGTTAAGTGTCGAACCGGATGTTGATCAACATGGACGTAATGTAAACAAGATAAAAATAACAAAAAAGAATAGTGTACCATTGCTCAACGGTGAAGTTGTACACAAAATATAATATATATCTTTTGGAGCGCTACAGAGCTCCCCCCCTAGAAGGCTGAACAAAAGAAGCCTTCAGTGTCGAAAATGACGGGTGAATCGAAGTTAGTTGGGATAAATCGTGCCGAGTGAGTGAGTGGGCGTTCGAGTCAAAGGGGGGTTCGCTGAAAATCGGAGTCCGCTGTGCCGTTTGTGATTTATTATTTATTGATTGTTGGGCAGGGGGCATTTCGGCGAGCCATTGGAGCGGGCTTGTCGGACTTCAAATAACTAGCTACCCTAGAAAAAGGCCGACAGGACCTCAACCTCCGCTGCCGCCAAACGGTGCGCTTGGGAGTGGTGTCTCCCCTCCCCGCACCCAGCCCAGCGCCAAAACGACCCTCGTCTCACGAAGAATTGTTCCTCATCTCGCGAAGAAACGACTAGCGTTCGCGTCAGGATCTTCCTTGACCGCGCCGATCCTCGAAAACTTCTCGTGTTTGCCAGTCGAGTGAAAGCGAAGGTTAGAACATGTAGAAACGGGAAAACAGAGACACGCAGAAAACGCCAGAAAAAAAGAACGCATGAGCTTCGTGTTTCGATTTTTTGGTTTTCGAATATTTTTTAGAGAAAGGTTTTTCGGTGATTTTTGGGTTTTTTGTTTGTTTTCAAAACGTTAACAGACCAAAAACGGGGCAAATATATACAATATCTACAAACCTAAACGTATTTACACTGTACATAGTCGGAAAAATGAACGGGTTTACGCACCTCCCGACCACGGCGATTGGTCGTGGGAGGCGGCGGGCTAGATTCGGAAGATGTCGGGACGGTTGATGCTTGTAGACTGAGATCGTGGTCTGGTTGAACTACACTAGGATGCTGAAAGCTCGTGCGATGAGTTGTGACGTCGCACGAAGCACTACTAGACGAAGTAGGCGAGGTGGTTTCTTCCATAAAGATAGGCTTTAGACGGTCGATGATGACGACTTCGCGTCAAACACTGCGGTCAATAGTATACATCTTACTGGCACGGTGTAGCACTTTGAAAGATCCTATGTACGGCGACTGAAGAGGCTGTCGAACATCGTCTACGCGAAAGACGTGTGAACACCTAGACAGCTTCTCGGGCACGTACACTGGTGTCTTCTGCGATCGAGGAGCGGGTGGAGGTAGCTCACGCATCTGGTGAGCCAATCAATCGGCGTAACTTCCGTAGTCAGAAGAGGAAGTAGACGGGGCTGGTGCTACCAGCTGTCTAGGCATACGCAACGTGCAGCCGTAGACTAGCTGCGTTGGTGTTGCGTCGAAATTGGGTTTAACAGTGTTTCTTAGGCCTAGGAGAACGAGAGGAAGTGTTTCAGACCATGAAGGATCTGCGTGCGCACGTACCGCAGCCTTCAGTTGGCGGTGAAAACGCTCCACCATGCTTTAGCGGCCGGATAATATGCCGTCATCTAAACGTAGCGACAGCCTAAATCCTTGAGCAACGTGGCAAAAGTCGACGAGAAATGTGACCTTCAATCGGTGGTCCCCATAGCATGACAGCCGTATTGAGCTACCAGAGCTCCAGAAAAGCTTTCGCTACTGTTTCCGAATAGTAGTTAGGTATGGGAATAGCTTCCGGCCACCTAGTGAAGTTATCGACACAGGTCAGTAGATATACACTGCCTTTCGAAGACGTCAGAAGACCGACGAGGTCGACGTACACGTGGTGAAAACGTGCGTTTAGCCTGGGAAATGTTCTTACTGGGCTTTTCTTGTGTTTATGCACTTTCGTGCATTGACACAGAAGGCAAGCAGCTGCCCAAGTACGAACGTCCCGACTGACATTGCGCCAGACGAACCGTGTGATTACGAGTTTAACCGATGCGCGAACGCCTGGATGAGACAAGCCGTGCAACGTGTCGAACACGGTCTGCCGACACTCGCGTGGGACGACGGCGCGGCATGTCCAGAGATAAATCGCAAAGTATGGTTCCGTTTGTGGATGTCAGCGGAACAGGTCGTATGTCCAGTGAGGGAGACCTGTATAGTATATCAACCTCAGGATCGTTGAGTTGTGCTGTGTCCATGGCTGCTAAGTAGATAGCAGTGCCAGCGTCCGCGGAGATAGCTTGGATCCGGGAAAGTGCATCGGCGACGGTGTTGTGGACACCTGAGACATGTCGAATATCGGTCGTAAACTGAGCGATATAATCAAGGTGGCGCGACTCTCTAGAAGAGTATCGGTCGGTAGTCGAGCCGAACACGTAAGTCAGGGGTTTGTGATCGATGAAGACGGTAAAGGAGCGGCCTTCTAAGACGTGTCGAAAGTGATGTATCGCTAGAAATATGGCTAGTAGTTCTCTACCGAACATGCGGTAGCGAGATTCGGTAGGCTGTAGGCGTTTGGAGAAAACCGCTAAGGGTTACCACGTGTCGGCTACTCGTTGCTGCAAAACAGCGCCGACTGTCACCTTTGAGGCGCCAGTACTGAGGGACAGTGGGGCAGCCGGATCGTGATGCGCTGTAGAATCTATGTTGGAGATAGCCACTTTCAGCGACTTAAAAGCAGCGCGTGCTGCGGCAGGAAATTAGAATTTCTTGAGTTTCCCTCGTGAGGGGTTGCATCAACGACGCGCATTTTGATATGAACCATCGGTCTAAGTTGACAAGCCCATCAAAACGCCTGAGCTGTTTGAAAGAATGAGGCTCGGGGTAGTCGATGATGGCTTGAATTTTATCCTGCAGTGGCACGACGCCTGCAGTGGAGATACGATGGCCGAGGAAGTTGACTGAGTCGACACCAAACGAACGCTTTTCTGCGTTGATCGTCACTCCGTGTCGAGATAAACGATCATAAAGTGTTCGTACGTGGCGCATGTGCTCTTCTCGTGAAGAGCTCGCGATTAAAATGTCGTTAAGATAAGCGTAAGCGTAGTCTAAGCCGCGACAAACTTGGTCGATGAGGCGCTGAAGTTTGTGCTGCATTTTCTAGACCGAATGGCATGCGCGGTAATTCGAACAAACCAAATGGAGTTATCACGGCAGTTTTATCTATGTCCGCTTCGGCTACCGGAACTTGGTAGTATGTGCGCACCAAGTCGATTTTGCTGAAGATATGCTTGCCCGCCAGACTGGCGTGGAGATCCACGATGTGTGGGACCGGATAGCGATCAGGCGTGGTAACCGTATTCAAGGATCGATAGTCGCCGCAAGGACGCCAGTCCCCCATGACCTTCTTCTTGACCATGTGGAGAGGCGACGCCCATGGGCTGCTAGACGGTCTGACGATACCGAGCTGAAGCATGTGGTCGAATTCAGCTCGCGCAGCACGTAGTTTGTCTGGAGCAAGCCGTCTTGGTCGTGCGCTAACTGGTTGACCGCGCGTGACTATGTGGTGAGCGACCTCTGTCGTGACTGGTGGAATCTCTTCAGCCGGTCGAACCAGTCGCGGGTACTCGGAGAGGAGGGTCAAGTAGTCAGACGGTGCGTCTGCGATCCCAAAAACAGGGATGATTATCGGGGCATCTGAAAAGACGCCATCAACACCTAGTTTTGTACGGTCGTCTAAAAGTCTGTGGCGACCAGCATCTACAAGCAACCCAAAATCTCGGAGGAAGTCGATACCGATAATTGTGATGGGTACAAACGCAACCGTGAAAACCCACTGAAAATCTCAGCAAACATTGAGGTCCAGGTTCATCATGCGCTGACCGAATGAAGCTATCGGAGAACCGTTGGCCTCACGCAGGTTGTACGTAGGTTTTGAGTGCTTTTTGTTCGTGTTCGCAGGAATGACGCTGACTTCCGCTTCTGTGTCGTTGAGGAACGTAATGGAAGAACGTCGATCCTTAACGTAAAACAGCCGATTCGTTTGCTTATTGACGAATACGTTGGTCATGCTAGTATGCGGGCTATTCGTTTTCCCTGAAGCGGCTGAGCCGCGCCTAATGCAGGGAGCCCGACAACCTCTAGCTCTTCCACCATATTTGCGGTGATACCAACATACTTCTTCGATGGGTTTGGTATTACTTGACTGAGAACGTACAGGGAAAATGTTGCGCTTTCGTGTCGAACCAGACGTACCCGGTGCAGCCACACACGAGCCGCTATGATTGGTAGGCAAAACGTGGTCGGCATCTGACCGTGGCACACGCCGCTTCGAAGTCTTCATTGCTGCTATCTTGCTGCGAAGTAGCGCAATTTCTTCGTTTTTGGGGTCAGACCGGCCTGACGACTTGGAGCAAATATTAAACTCGGTTTTCATCAGTGAGAATACGTCAACGGAGCTACTGGTCGCCTGCTACGGAAGATGTTCGAACGCAGCGTCTTCCTTGGTAGCTAGTTCTCTTAGGGGTCTATCCATAAACATGGACATCATTACCGGCAATGGCTCTAGGAGACGTGCAAACCACAGTTCCTTTATCCCTTCTTCGCTCAAGAATAAGGTACTAGCGATGCGCTGAATTTCGCTGAGCAACCCCGACTGCTTACATTCTCCCAGCTTGACACCATTGAGCTGTACAAATCTAACTCTGCGCTGGGCTGTAACTCTTTTAAAATCGCTTGCTTCATCTTTTCATACTTCACATCATTCGTTGAGCAGAGTAGAATGTTCTCA